ACCAAGTCCATTGTCCAGCTCAGAGAGCAGCTGTCAGATCCCCTAGCATCAATGAAAGGCATCGTTACCTGCAAGGCCAGCTTGAAGGCGGATGAGAAGTTGGAGAAAGTGGTGGGTGAGCTGCAGTCCTTGATGCAAAGCATTGAGGCACAAACTGGCAAAACACCTGTCACACCAGAGTCCTTGTTACTGTGTTTCTTCAATTGATTGCCGTGTTGGCTTTTGACTCTTGATTCTGGATTCTGATTATTCTTCTGTCTGCTCTTCAGGATTTGAATGGCACCAGTGCAGCAGTTGTGGGCATCATGATGGCCATGGAGATTGTTGTCAATGCTGACAAGTACGAGGACAAGCTCACGACATCACGCCGGGTTGGGGCTTACCTCAGCAAGAAGCTTGGAATGTCAAAGAATGACCTTCCGCCACTGCTCAAGTCCAAGTTTGAGCAGTTGACTGCTTCGCAGACTCCTTGTTTGAGTTGGCAAGTTTTTTTATTGCTGCTTCCAAGGCAACCCCCAATCACTCAGAGATTTGAGATTCAAACTCAGAATTCGGGTACATTGAATCCAGTATACAGTATACAGTATATAATATACATAGTCTTACATAGTACTAGTACAGTACTACTTACTACTTACTCTTACTAACCTACACCAAACAAATGGAATTGACAGGAGCCGGATGGTTTCTTTCTTTTGGAGCGTGCTGCAAGGACCAAGCCTGGTTCAAAGCCTGCTGCGGAGCCTGAGGGGCAGCCAAACAATGCTTCCAAGAGCACCCGGAAGCGTGGGAAGCAGCCTGATGAATCTGCTGAGCCACCAGTTGACCCTGCTCAGAAGAAGCGACAGAGGCCACCCTCATCGTCCAAGGCCAGTGAGAAGACCACTGAAGCAAAAGCAAAATCAGGAAAGAAGTTCAAGAAATGAAGCTTGTGCCAATGCGGCCGAGCTATGCTGCTACATTTGAGCAGCTTGAGTTTTGCGGATTTTGTAGTTAAAGACTAGATGCCAAAAAGGCTGTTCATGTTTCGTGTCCCCTTGACGATCTTTGACAGATCCAGAGCGGGAAATTTGGGACAGTTGGTCTACCAACTTGGACTTGCGGAGGGGCTGCAAAATAGGAAGTCTGGGCCTGTGCTGTAGCTCTGGAACCTTTTGTCCTGTTTGTCGACACTGGCGAATGTCTTTCATGCCATTTTCACTGATAACCACTGTCATCACTACTGTTACTACTGAGGACCACTTCAAGCTAGCTTAGCTTAGCTCGTGGTTCTGGGAATAGTGTCCTTATTTCTTGCAAATGGTTTCTATCTATTTTGCAAGTGGTTTCTTTACTATTTTGAGACTACAGCCTGACCACAGCTACCTGTGCAATATATTTGCAAGTAGTTTCAGCCCCTTCCCCTCTCCCCACAGACAAAGAGGCCAACCCAGGCAACAACCTATGGTTGTTCAATTGGGCGTATTTCCTCTATCAATCTACCCATCTTCAAAGGCCATCAAACAGAGCGCTGGTTATTGTTCTCAGCACTGGATCTCACAGAGTTGACTCAGGTCGATGGATGTGTTCTTCAGTGTGTCAACGGTCGATACACACTGACCGCTGTTGGCAGGTGCGCAAACCCTGCCCTGAGGAAGACAACAACAGACCGCTTCTTCCTCTTGTTGTTCGGGTTGGGTGGGCCGCCCTTGACCTCTGGCTTAGCCTGAGCCTGTCGACCAAAGCTCTGATGACGGTCCATGTAGTCCACCGAGGCCATGCTCTGAGGCCATGCACCGAGGCCATCACCAGGTCGGGCCAGTGAAGCATGAGAAACAAATGGCCCGTATACGGTCTTGGTATGCAAAAGGGGCAAGCATGGTCAAACGCCTCGTCGACTCCAGATTGATCACCCTTATGTGTATATCCCTTATCCAGGATATCCCAAGATTCAGATTCAGCAAGGGTAACAATAAAAGCTAAGAATCTTCGCAATAAAGTCACCATTACTGTTGGGTCGTTTCTGGCGCGGGGGTTAAACACAATTTATAGATCTGTGAATTTGAGACCTGTTGTGGGATACAAACCACAACACCACGTGCATTGACCTTGACATACGCCACTCGGAGAGGAATTTGCAGCATGTCAGAAAGCAGGTGGTCATAGCAAGCAACACCTGCTGGAACACCTACTAGACATTCGCATGTCAAAATAAACCCACCCAGCCACCCAGCCAACTAACCTGAAACATCCTGAAACGATATCGCTACGCATAACAAAGGTACAGTCGATACACAACAAATAGCTTGCATCCTCATACCCTTTAGCAAGGCCAGTTGCGCTCCAAAAATGAGGACTACCAGTGGTCACAAGAAACGGCAACATGGTAGTCCTTCGCTCCAAACCCAAGGCCATCCACCAGTTCAGACCCTCCGGGCACCAACGGCACCCAACGGCTTCCACGTTCGGTCTCCAGTTGCGTGTGACGAATGGTGGTGGAGATCTCTGGGGGAATATGCGCTGGCACTCCAAACTCGTCTCTGGGCATCTCGTCATACCTTGGGTCTGGCGTGTTTCGTAGAGGTGCCGGGAAACAGCCCGTTCTAAGGCAGCAGAAAATGACACGTACCCGCTGTTCCGTGGGGATGGGACACATCGGGTATGATATTAAAAGTCCGTGAATATCTGAGGTATGACATAAAAGCCCAGCATGATATGATATGTATAAGCCCACATATGTCTGGATATCTCGGGATGTGTTGTTGGTCGTTGGCCTTTCTGGAATCTGCCTAATGCGAAGGGACCTTGAAATTGCCACTTTTTGGCACTCCTTTGTCAATGTTAGAATGATATGGTATATGTTTGTAAGGGGCGGGCCAATGGCCTCATAGAGAACCGTATGCTTCTTCCAAACATGTTGTGCAATAGGGGGCACATGTGTCCGTGACATCATGAGCATCTATTGCTCGGTCTTCCCGAGAAATGTCGCCGAAGTCCTGGGGTAGGTGCATAGGATTGAAGGCTAGGGCTGGCTAGGGCTAGGGGCAGCACGTTTTGTTGTTTTCACCAGCCATCCCGGCCCCATCTCGCCGAAGTCACTCCAACTCCAGGAAGTCATCATAGCCGGGCTTGTCGTGAATCGTGGTCCACATCACCTTGGTCAAAGGATGTGCTACCAAGGCTGACTTAGGAGCATCTAGCACCTGGCCGGCAGGCTGTTCTGGAACCCATTCTAGCGATCTTTCAGCAAGCGTCTAACGTCTGCATTAGGGATGGTTACTTTCCAAACATGCAAACATATAGTGAGAGTCATAGAGTGGTGTGATAAGCGCGCATGGTGGGATACACGAGACCTGCTTAGAACTATTAGTCTCCTCCTACTCCTCCAACTCCCACTGCTGCTACTGCTGCTGATGCTGTTCTTATTGCGTGTTATTGCTAGTGCTGCAGAAGCAATGCAGTGCTACTTCTTCAACCTCCACTTCCCTCATCCTACCTCTACTTCTGCGATGACGACTACTCTTTGGCTGCGAGGTGAACTATACAAGCAGACTCAAACATCTCGTTGGAAGTTGGAAGGCTAGAGGTGTCAAGGGGGACTAAGTTAACTGTGATCAGTGATAAGCATATTCAAATAGCTCTCAAGGCTAGAGGTGTCCAGGCTAGAGGTGCCGTCCTTGTTGAACAGTTGGCTAAAGTTTGATAGAAGCAGGGATACCTCCTCCCTTGACTGACTCCAGCACAAAGGGAAATTCATGTTGGAAAACGAAGTCCGTCCATGGATGGTCAGTGCAATCTGCCAATCAGGTGAGCTCACCAACATGTAATTCAAAAACTTGCCCCTTTCTTGAGGGAACTGGTATTGTATGTCCTTTGTCCCATGAGTGGGGCGCGAGGGGAACATCAACCAAACACTCCCAACATTGCGTTTTGGCTTAGCCAAACAGCCGTCCTTCTTCTGGTCTTCTATCCGAAGAGTTCTATATAGTTCTATCATTGATCAGCACAATGGTCCCAAATGTGCCAGAGTATACCAAACCTCCCATCGGGCATCTCAGATATACTCGACTGGTTGTTGTAAACAGCTCTCGAATTGCGACCGCAATGCCTCCAGGTGTTGGATGAAACCCATCAACGGGGTTCTCGCTTTTTGGGAAGCGACGATGGTCGCTCCCGAGATCGGTGCTGTCTACCACCACGGAAAGCCGTTGATTGACAGCTGTGCAATAAACCCACCCTAAAATCTACGACCTATCGGGGAGGTGCGAAGAATAGCTTTCTCATTTCTCTTCCCAGGTGGAGTTTGAGAGGTGATCAAACCCTTCTCTTCCCACGACACCCGGTCTTTCTCTCAAGCCGCCCACATTTTGTCCAGTTCCGCATGCTGCTACAAGACTGGAAGTCTTGTATGAATCGTTTGAATCATTGGAAATTCCATTGGCAATGGCCCATGGGTAAATCAAATAGTAGATGGTCTTGTGTGGCATTGTAGTCTATATATATATGTGTGTGTGTCCACCATGTCTGACCCTGTCTCCATAGATTGTTGATATAGTTGCATATTGTTGCCATAGTTGCCATAATCCCTTAAGCAAAACTACAATATAAAAAAGCATTGTTATTACTACTATTGACTATATATTGAAACAATAACTGCAACAATACCGCAACAAGATTGTGGGCGTTGTATCTTGACCTTCAGAATGTTTCAGTTCGCAAAGCCTGGGGGCTTTTAAACTGCTCGGTTCGCATCACTCGACTCCACGATCATGTTGGGTGAAACCGTTTTCGCTGCTGTGCATCCGGCCTGTGAAATCGGATCGGATTGGCCGGTGCTTGATTGCATCTGGGCCATGTTCCACCTTGCAATCTATAAACATGGCTCTCTTTCATTGGATGTTTCCTCTTCCACGTTTGGCTTTTACGCGTGGCTTTCACCAATCACACAGTAACTACCAGCCTACAACCAATGCAAAAAAAACAGCTCCCGTCGCATGCTCCTGCCTATCCAGTCGCGCCCTTCACAGCAGCTTCCGCTTCCTCACCGACCTTGCGGTTCCAGCAGCCTCCTGTAGCAAAAGCTCCTGGGCACCGACTTTGAGCCACTCTTGAGCATCACTCAGGGCACTGTTTCCTATGGTTGTCGAATCCACACTGGGGAATTCCATCGTAGGAAGAGGTCTTGTTTTGGGGGGGGTGCCCATGCTTGGCCATGGGCATAACCATGACATGCTCTTAGCTAAAGCAGAACATGGCAGGTGCTGGGCAGGTGCTGTTCCATTGTCCCGATCCCAATCAAGACGTGACCGTCTCGTAGGGTAGCTGGTCACCTGCATCATGGATGATGAAGGGATTGGCATGGGCCCCAAATGCCCTCAGAATGTATGGTTCTTAAGTATAGTTGTTCTTATTCTATATATGGATTGACAATCCGATCCTTTTCTTACGGGGTCCGTTGATGTATTCTCTCAAATCAACGAGCCCAAAAGGCATCAAATCTCTTGATGGTCCTACGCCAGCATTGATGGTCTCTATTTGGGGTGCTCTACTCCTTACGAGCCCGCGTACGAGCTACGGAGGCTCTACACTCAATACTCTACTCCAAGTATTTGGCTTCCACAATTCCGGGATGTGACTTCTGCTTCCTATTGCTTGACTGTCTAAACCTACCTGTTCGAAGATTGCTATGGAGCGAGAGTATGCCCATGGCCTTCACCCGGGCCTATGGCGGCCTATGCCAATGCTGCCCAGGGCTCCCTGACCACACGGCTCAAACGCCCCTTCTTCAGCTGCTGCTGTATCACCCAGGAGTCGTGGCCAAACCTCCTGCAAGCCTTTTTCAAAGGCTCCAGCCCTTTCAATGCCTGACTTTGAGAGCAAGTGAGACTCTTGGAAGGCCAGGAGCCGCATGTAAAAACATGTAAAAAATCATTGACTGGATGGAGTCAAGAACTTGAGTAGGTTCTCGTGAAAACGTCAGGTTACAAGCATTTTATCACACTTCTTTCGCCAAGGCGTTGTGGCGTTGTGTGGGACCTTCAGAATCAATCCGCCCATATCCGCTCCATCAGAACTATGAGACCCAAAGAATCCTCGCAGCTGCTTCTCCCCCTTGGCTGCCCCTTCGGTCCTACTGCGAAAGCTAGCGGCCTCTCAAGGACCGCAACCAGTGGTGTATTTATAGTTGATGTATAGTTGATGTGCCAGGTTCTGGATGGCCATCACATGACATGTTGAAGCGGTCAAAAAATCACCCAGAATATCTTTCACCTGCCCGGATTGGGGATGAACACTTCACCACACACATCAAACGGATTCTATTTGCAAACTCTCTATTGACCATAGAGCACCCCAAAACCTGTTCACCTGACATCTTCGCACCAAACACCGCCCCTGTTTTCGACGTGTCGCAGCATGCTCGGCGATGGGCGGGAAGGATTCTTCGGTGATCATGGTTCCCAGCAGATCCGTCAGGATGGCTACAACCACATGGACTTGCCATCGGTGCGCCAAATCCAGCGCCGATAAGACCTCTGCGCGGCTGCTTCGAAACTGGACAGCTGGAGAAGATGCACAGCTGGAGAACTGGGCACTGTTTAAACTTTCCCGAAGATGCACTTTGCATAGGGGTAGGAATTCCCCTGAGGGTCCATGGATTACCCGAGGCAATTCAATTCCTTATCACTTTGCGCGGTTTACCAATCTCATTTTTGTTGTTTTATGACCCATGGGCATCATCGGCCGACATGCCTGAGGTTTCCCAAACCGTCTCAAATCACTGCTATTTACTTACCACACTCACCTGGACACCAAAACATGTTCCATCACCAGGTGACTGTGTGGTAGTCTGGCTCTGTGCTGGTTGAGCACGTGTACAAAGTCTCCAGGAAGAGGGAGACACCAGCTTTGGGCGAGTCTTTCACTTGAACATGCTGCGTCTCCTGCTCTTTCATCGGCGACCCCAGCCTAGGTGCACCAAAAACACCACACGAGATGGATGACCACCACATCTCCGTGGATGACCCGTTCGCGTGATTCGGTGGAGTCGAAAGTTTCTCCATCAAACCTGGCGGTGCTGCAACATCTCATTGCTCTTGATATGTCAGGATCCATTGGCCAAAAGGGGCCTTGAACCGCATGTCTGGAAAAAAATCCCGACCAAAACAAGTATTTTGGAGGGTCCAGCTATTAACTATTAACATGACAGTCAGTCATCTTGCCACGGCACATCGCCTTGATCACGGGAGAGGCCTCTTTGAGAATCACCGCATGCGCGGTGACTGGGCCATCAGCTGTGTCCAAGGTCAAATCATGGGAGCATGTTGCGCGCAAGCAGCGCTCCCAGTTCTCCAGAATGCCTCGAACGATGAAGAGTCACGAAGAATCACAAAGGAAGGATGGGAGCGCCGACAGTGGATTTAATCGGACGTGTGTTACGTCATAGACCGCCTGACAGTGCTAAAGATCTACTCACCAGCAACCGTAGAGGTAATACGCACCGGATTCTGCCCCGTGTCCTCATCTTCATGTATCTCTATATTTTCATATATATTTTCTATTATTTTACATGCAATTTTTAGATGAGTAGATTTCTCAGCGGTTGACCTTCATGACCAGCTACCCAGCATTGCTAGCTAGCATGTACACCCTGCCGCCTTCGTCAATCAACACCTTCGGCCGCTTCTCGGTGTTGGAGGCCCTGCGCCGATCGAATCCGTGAGGGAAAATGCTCTGATGGGAGTCCCATCCTTTGTTGTTGGAAAGGTTCCGTGATCCAATCTTAGAGGTTCCGGAAGGTTCACCGGCGATAGTTCTGTGTTTCAAATGTGCAAAAAGTTGGGAAACATACAATATAATACATTGACCCTCAAACGCCTCAAACTCCCAATTCTTCAATAGATATACCCAGAAAGAGAAAAAATGGCTATCCAACGTACGGAGCAACGTACTGAGCAACGTCAACCATCGTCAACCATCGTTCTGCTCAGCCCACGGCCAGGCTGCCAATCCCTCCGTCCCATCCTCCGCAGGCAGCCCAACTGGCCTGGCAATCCGCTCGAGGGCTTTGTCCAGGTAATCCAACTCGTCAGACCAATTGGAATTCAGGAGCTCGTTCCTTGGCTTTCTCCCAATGAGTTGGCAGGAGTAGGTGGGACAAATGAGCTGCACAAGCCGTGGAAGTTGGTAGGAAGTCCGGAGGCAAAGCGAGGACACAGTAAACCTATGCACTGCCTTCGGTTTGGTCCGCATGTGCCAGCACAAATATGGTGGGTCAATGATCAAATTCACAGGCTGCTGATCCATATATGCATTTACCAGAAACAAGCAGGCGAGCAATGGCAGTTCATCCTTATAGGTTTCCTATCATGATCATGATCCCCAAATGTACACCCATTCTTTGGCACTTTTGTTGGTAGCGGAGCATACGAAATATACAGCAACCCTCATGTGTTCACTGTTCTCACCATTTTTCTATTCCCTCTGATCAACTGCAATAAGCTTTGGCATCTTCCCATACTGCTTGTGGTCTCTGGTCCGAGACTCTGGAGCTTCGCCTGCCAGCTGGTGATGTACGAGATCGCAGACTTGCCGTCGTACCACACCTCGGTGGACGGACGTCGGTGGTCGAACGTGAACCGTCGACGGATCCACGGTTCAAACGGATCCATGATACCCGTGGATCCGTCGTTCTAGGGGTTCTTACAGTACGGTCAAGGCTGGGTGAGACAGCGTCACGTGTGGCACACACGTGCTCTGTGTGCTGAGACAGCTGTGGAGCGCCACATGTTCTCTCATGAGTGGTCATTGTGTGTGCGTGCTCTCTCATACTTGTGCTCTCATTTGTTTGACTTAATATGTGTGCTCTCATGTGTGTGTGTGTGTGTGTGCGCTCTAGAGTCTGGACGACCCTTGTCTAGTTCTACTTGACACTGTTTGGGGTCTCTTGTCGGGATAAATTGTCAGCGTTCCGTTTCCAGCGCTTCCAGTGTGGAATTTCATCCGCTTTCATGTGTGGATGTTCATGGTCTCTCCACTATGCAACCTCGCCGGAACAATCAGCAACCATCTGAACTGTCTCCGCATCTGGCGCGCAACTGCGCCATCTGGCTGGTGGTTCCAATCGGAGCACTTGGCGAACCCCCCGCACTCCCACCGAAACCCTTTCCCAGGACAGCGATTGTCCAAGTCACGTTCAGCTCCTTGCCATTACCCCGGTCGCACATGCTGAAGCACCGTGACCGTGTCGGATCGCAACACTTCTGCGAAGCTGAGGCACCTGCCCTGCTGAAGGCGCGAGCGCGAAGCGAGGACGCTCGATTCCCGCGATCGCGAGCCAGGACGCTCTCGGACGCGAACGAAAGGAGGGGCAGCCTGAATTGGGTCTAACAAACGGAACCCCCATGTACCAACTAAAGTACAACCGCATGTACCAATCCGTTTGGTTAAACTCGACCAACCCCATGTAACAAACTAGGCCATGTATATGTTTAACTATCTACAACGGATTGATTGAGCAGTGTATGCATAGTCGGGCAAGAAGTTTGCTGGGTTTGGATTCCTGTCTCCACGGCATTCTGCGGCAAACATGCTCACCATCACCGGTTGAGATGGTTGAGCAGCTGTTCACTTCGGCCATGAAAGGGAGGCATACTATTGGCTCTACAAGTACTGTAGTGCACTTGTCATAGAAAACCTTGGAAAGGCTTTAGCTGCGGCAGGAGTTCAGTCTGGCAGTTGGGCTCAGACTGGGATAAGTCCTGGTGGACATGAAGCTAAGTTCATTAGTTGGGAGTAACATCAAGAATCAAACCCCAATCAAACACTGTTTCGCAAGAAACTAGCCGGCAGTCGAAAGTTGAACCATTCCATTCCCCCCCCAAACAAAAAGATCAAACATCCCCTCACTCCGCTCCCCAGCCAAAGCCACTATGGGCGTCACCTTTTTTCGCTTCATTGAACCTTTCCAAAGCATTCCGGGGCACATGATGAGCCAATCGATGGTGCGCAAGTTGCCCTCCACCTCTTCGAGGTTCTCCGACGCAAAGCCGCCTCCGGGACTCCGCCCCAGACGCGGAGGACCGGTAGTACTGGGAGTCGGCTAAGCCAACGCGCAATGGATTGGACGATGTCTCTCGGATCGCGCAGAGTTGACGGTTCATAAGCTGCTCCTAAGCACATTCCCAAACAAATGGAGATATAGGTACCATGGTTCTCCACTGCTCTTTTGGGTGGGCCCCATCGAGGGCGAACACACACTACAATGCCATACAATCCTCAGCGACAAAGCTGTAGCGAGTACAAGTGGAGGTCAGGCAGGGGTACGTATCCTGTCTACAGAGATCTTCCCTCCTGAGTTTAGCTATATATAGCTGTCCTGAGTTTAGCTATAGCTTGCGGCCAGGCCACTGTTCACAGCCTCAACAAGCCAGGTGTTCCGCTGCTTGGGGTGCAGCTCTTTGGCAGTTAAGCTGTCGAAGGTGAGCTTCTTAAATTCATCATACTTCCTCGATTGGAGCAACGCCCATGCCAACTCGTTCCGATCCTCGCAGGTCATTCTTCGAGCCAGGAGATTCGCTGCAGTGCTGCGGAATCACTGATATGCAGTGAATGAAATCAAACCCAACAAAACTCTAGCATATCATATCTGTCCATGTTCTGCCCCACCTGAGGACCTTTCGCATACCTTCTGGCTGCCGGAAACGACTCCGCAGCCCCCTCAACCAGAAAATGCGTTTGTTCTGCAAGGAGACCATGTTCCTGAGTGGCCGCTGCCCGGCCCGGGTCCATCCTTGCCCTCCAGGTGGCAGGAAAGCCAGGGTTCACCGCCTGCCAGCGCCGCGACCGTCGAAGTGGAGCGCCCCGGGAGCGCTGGGGGCATTTGCCCGCTCAGCAAAAGCATGTTCAACCAGATTCTCTCCCATGGTTCTCTTGGACATGTCTTTGAGACCGATGTCACCCCATTCCGCCACCGGACCCTCCAACCCCGCCATGCTGAAGCGCGTGCTGCTGGGATGCAGCCATCGCCGCTGAGAGATCAGCGGGGCCCCAGGCGTCACCCGAAAGGCCTGGCGTATTTGGGCGGTGGATGGTTGGAGGGTCACCCAAGGGATTTTGTTGTTTTTTAAAAAATCTTAAGCCTGAATGACCTCTAATTTTGGAGCACCAGCCACCCAACATATGGTCTGTTCATGTCTGTTCCTATCAAACAAAAAGGCCAAATGGATTCCAGGTATATGTAATATATATATATTAACTATATAATGAACGGAGAATTTAGGCTCTTAAACTCTGTGACCCCAAGTCACTGTCCCAAAGGTTGGAGTAGTAGAAGCTTAGGCCCACTTTTAGCTCACGCTTGACTGAGCTCTGGTATCGAAATGAACACAAAACGGCTGCAGTGAAACATACATCTATACAAGCTATGTCATGTACATGTAACTGGTGCTACATCTGATCACGCCTCCCGAGTTTAACATCTCCCAGAAGTTAAGCGAGTCAGGATTAGCACTTCGGTGAATTAGCTCGTAGCACTTCAGTACCTCTTCAAGACCAAGATGTACCTACTCTAGCTCAAGCCGTTCACGCTTTCAAAGTCAGTTCATGCTCACCTTCCAAGTAGTGGAAGTTCATGCCTTTCATGGCTGTTGTCATTTTCTCCTCGGTGACAGCTTTCGTTAGCACATCGGCCAACATTCGGTCGGTGCCTTCCTTCTTGAGACGAAACTCTTTCTTTGCTGTGAGTTCTTGTACCCAATGGTATTGAGTGTCAACATGTTTAGCTCGTCCCAAACCTCGACGGTTTCCCATGGCGATGCCAGCGGAAGCGTCCATTGTCACCTCTTTGCTGGGAAACAATCCCCAGTCTCTTGCTGTTGATGCGATTCCAAGCATTTGACATGCTCCCGAAACAAGTCCGTAGTACTCGGATTCGCCACTGCTCAGGGAGACAACTCCTTGGCCTTTGCTGTATGTTGTGAGACAGCATTTGTTGGCCATGAGCACGCCTCCTGACACACTCTTTCGTGTCCTTATGCAACCTGCATGGTCGGCGTCTGACCACATGTTGAAGGGGTTGCAGGTGCTTTGGTTTGGAAACAACTGTGCAACTCTTGGTCGATACCTGACATATCGAGCCAATCGTTTCAGCATATTCCAGTGCCTCGATGTTGGATTCTGTAGACCTTGTGCCAACGAGCGCGTAGCAGTTTGTAGATCAGGTCGATCTTGTGCCAAATACGCAGCTCTCATAGCAATAGATCTATACATCGTTGCATCTTCGGCACTCAGCGGAACTTCTTCGTGTTGGAGTTCCTCTTGACTTGGCTTGGCCAAAGGTGTTTTGACCTCGCCTGGTTGACCAGTGCCTAGCCACTTGATGATCAACTCTGCATGTCTTGGATCTGGTTCCCACCAAACGCCTTCATTTGACCAGGTGATGATGCGATTCAGCACTCTGATCTGTTGACTTGCTTTTGGTGAACCTGGTGGACCGAGAATGCCTCGTTCCACAACTTGCCATTCTTTGGCTGCTGAAGTGTGAAACCATTTGATATCATCAAAACTTCCAACGGTCGTGAAATCGTCTCCATGCACTTCTGTTCGAAGCTCTCTGGATGCGTGGTAGTAGATGCATGGATTGGACTTGCCTTGAACAAATCCTAGCTTCTTCATAAACTCTGCAATGGTCAGCTCCCAATTCATGGGTGCATCTCTGGTGCCGTAAAGGCTTCTGACCAATCTTCCTACCACATCTCCATCTTCTGGCTTCTTGCCTTCTGATGGAATTTCAACATAGAGTTCTCTTGTTGCTTTGGAGTAGAAATGAGCTCTCTTCACATCTAAAAATCCTAGAAAAGATGGCTTTGCTTTTCTTCTTTTCGCCTTTCTCCAATGGAAGGCTATCGCTGACTGCGATGGTTAGCAGTAGCTTCAATGCTGCAAGGCTCGGCATGGCTGCGAAAAATTCGCCAAAACCTGAGCCTCTTTTGATCTCTTGCGCTACCAATCGACTTCTATAGAGAGGAGTGGTTTCATCTTGCTTGTTCACATCTACCCATCGAGTTCCAATGATTTTGGTTCCTTTTGGAACTTTGCTTCTTGGGATTTTCTCCCAGACTCCCATTGATTCGACAATGTCGATCTCATCTTTTCTGGCTTTCTCTACCTTCTCAGGTAGCAGCTCTTTTCCACTGATGTCATCATAGTACCACCAGTCTTTTGCCTCTTCTGCCATTTCTTCTGGCAGTAGGATCTTCTCTTCACACACTGGTTTCTCTGGGTCGATGCTAGATAGCACTCTCTCTCTGTCTTCTAGGATTAGGCTTTCTAGAGCCATCTCAATCCTTTGGATGTCTCTTGTTCTCTCGGCTTCATCTTCATGTTCGCCTTCTGCCTTTCTCTTCTTGTCTCTATCTACTCTGGCTTTTGCTGTGGGTGATCCTGCTGGTTCATGTTGTTCTTCGTGTTCTCTCTTTTCTCCATGTGGTTCAGGTTCGCGTGGTCTGCGAATACCTGATGCTGAAGCTGATGCTGTGCCCGATGTTGGTGGTGCTGCTTCTGGTTCGTACCACAATTCTGTCACAATGTCCATCTTGTGTGGTGATGCTCCATTGAGTATCTCTGGTGGAAGGTCTGTTGTCATAACTCCACTCTCAATGATTGCGTTGTTTGCATGATTTCTTGTGACTCGGTGCCAGACGGTAGACCAATCAGGTCCTCTTGGCATGGTGGTTTGAAAACAGTAAGCTTCGACGTCAAGTCGTGCGAACACTCGACATGAATCGGGAACTCCCGATGGTCTTTTGCTTTCATATCCTTGAAGGATTTGAGGTCTCTTGCCACTGACTGGTTGTGGCATGCCAGTGATTGCCTCTCCAACTCGGCTTTCATGTCTTGCCACTCTTGGGTTCTCTTCTTCTTCTCCTCTGATGCACTCTTCAAGTCTGTCTCGACACCTGTTGGTGTGATGGATGCCTGTAGATCTCTTACCAATCTGTGTGGCATCACAAGCTGGGCAACCTGCAGTGTACCCAAACTTTTCCAGGTCTTCCTTGGTGATGTAAAGCCTTCTCAGCTTTCTTTTCTTGTCGTCAGGTGGTTGGACTAATGCTTCACCACTTGGACTGGCAATGATTGGTTCCCTTGGGACTGCAATCGCTGGTTCTTCGCGAATTGCTTGAGGATCCCAGGGAATTCCGGTGATCGATTTCAGCAACTCTGAATC